ATCTGCATGTCAGAGGTTATTGATATTTCTCTCTTTAATCTTTTTTTAAACACATTCTAAAAAAAATATTTATTTTTTAATTGAAGGATCATTGGTTTACAGAATTTTGTTGTTTTCTGTGAAACATCAACATGAATCAGCCGTAGGCATACATATGTCCCCTCTCTTGAACCTTCCTCACATCTCCCCCCATCCCATCCCTCTAGGTTGATAAGAGCCTCTGTCTGAATTCCCTGAGACATGCCGCAGATTCCCACTGGCTGTCTGTTTCACATATGGTCATGTAAGTTTCCACAGTGCTCTCCCCATACATCTCAGCTTCTCCTCCCCTCTCCCCGTGTCCTTACGTCTGTTCTCTGTGTCTGCTTCTCCATTGCTGCCTTGAAAATAAATTCATCAGTATCACTATCTTTCTAGATTCCATATATGTGCATTGGTATACAATATTTATATTTCTCTTTCTGACTCACTTCACTCTGTATAATAGGCTCTAGGTTCATCCAGCTCCCTAGAAATGACTCAGATGTGTTCGTTTTTATGGTAAGTAAGCTGAAACTCCAATGCTTTGGCCACCTGATGCGAAGAGCTGACTCATTTGAAAAGACCCTGATGCTGGGAAAGATTGAGGGCAAGAGGAGAAGGGGACAACAGAGGATGAGGTGGTTGGATGGCATCACCAACTCAATGGATATGGGTTTGGGTAGACTCTGGCAGTTGGTGATGGACAGGGAAGCCTGGCGTGCTGAGGTTCATGGGATCACAAAGAGTCGGACATGACTGAGCAACTGAACTGAACTGAATATTCCATTTTGTGTATGTACCACAACTTCTTTATCCACCATCTTTCAGTGGACATCTAGGTAGCTTCCATGTTCTAGCTATTGTAAATAGTGCTGCAATGAACATTGGAGTACATGTGTATTTTTCATTTTGGTTTCCTCAGGGTACATGCCTTGGAGTGGGATTGCTGGATCACATGGTGGGTTTGTTTCTAGTTTTTTAGGAATCTCCATACTCTCTTCCATAGTGGCTGTATCAATTTACATTCCCACCAACAATGCAAGAGTGTTCCCTTTTCTTCATTCCCTCTCCAGCGTTTATTGTTTGTAGACTTTTGGATGCTTGCCATTCTGACCAGTGTGAGGTGATATCTCATTTTAATTTTGATTTGCATTTCTCTAATAATGAGCATCTTTTCAACAACTGACAAAGGATTAATTTCCAAAATATACAAGCATCTCATACAACTCGATACCAGAAAAACAAACAACCCAATCAAAAAGTAGGAAAATGACCTAAACAGGCACTTCTCCAAAGAAGACAGACAGATGGCTCACTGCAATCTTGATTCCAGCTTGTGCTTCATCCAGTCCGGCATTTTGCATGATGTATTCTGCATATAAGTTAAATAAGCAAGGTGACAACACAGCCTTGATGTATTCCTTTCCCAATTTGGAACCAGTCTGTTGTTCCATGTCCAGTTCTAACTGTTGCTTCTTGACCTTCATACAGATTTCTCAGGAGGCAGGGATGGTGGTCTGGTATTCCCATCTCTTGAAGAATTTTCCACAGTTTGTTGTGATCCACACAATCAAAGACTTTAGTGTAGTCAATGAAGCAGAAGTAGATGTTTTTCTGGAATTGTTGTTGTTTTTCTGTGATCCAACAGATGTTGGCAATTTGATCTCTGCCTTTTTTAAATCCAGCTTGAACACCTGGAAGTTCTCAGTTCACATATTGCTGAAGCCTGGCTTGGAGAATTTTGAGCATCATTTTGCTTGCATGTGAGATGAGTGCAATTGTGTGGTAGTTTGAACATTATTTGACACTGCCCTTCTTTGGGATTGGAATGAAAACTGACCTTTTCCAGTCCTGTGGCCACTGCTGAGTTTTCCAAATTTGCTGGCCCATTGAGAGCAGCACTTTCCCAACATCATCTTTTGGATTTGAAATATCTGACCTGGAATTCCATCATGCCATTAGCTTTGTTCGTAGTGATACTTCCCCACTTGACTTCACATTCCAGGATGTCTGGCTCTAGGTGAGTGATCACACCATCGTGATTATCTGGGTCATTAAGATCTCTTTTGTATAGTTCTTTTGTGTATTCTTGCCACCTCTTCTTAATATCTTCTGCTTCTGTTAGGTCCACACTGTTTCTATCCTTTATTGTGCCCATCTTTGCATGAAATGTTCCCAGGTATCTCTAATTTTCATGAGAGATCTCTAGTCTTTCCCATTCTATTGTTGTCCTCTCTTTCTTTGTATTGATTACTGAGGAAGTCTTTCTTATCTCTCCTTGCTGATCTTTGGAACTCTGCATTCAGATGGGTATATCTTTCCTTTTCTCCTTTGCCTTTTGCTTCTCTCCTTTTCTCAGCTATTTGTAAGGCCTCCCCAGACAACCATTTTGCCTTTTTGCATTTCTTCTTGAGGATGGTTTCTATCACTACCTCCTGTACAATGTTGCCAGCCTCTGTTCATAGTTCTTCAGGCACTCTGTCTATCAGTTCTAATCCCTTGAATCTATTTGTCACTTCCACTGTATAATCATAAAAGATTTGATTTAGGTCATACCTGGTCTAGCATGGCCTAGTGATTTTCCCTACTTTCTTCAACTTAAGTCTGAATTTTGCAATAAGGAGTTCATGGTGTGAGTCACGTCAGCTCCTAGTCTTGTTCTGGCTAACTGTATAGAGCTTCTCCATCTTTGGCTGTGAAGAATATAATCAATCTGATTTCGGTGTTGACCATCTGGTGATGTCCACGTGTAGTGTCATCTCGTGTGTTGGGAGAGAGCATTTGCTATGACCAGTGCATTCTCTTGGCAAAGCTCTGTTAGCCTTTGCCCTGCTTCATAAGAATAAAAGGTCCCTCTTATTGGCTTTTGAGCCATGTAAATCAATCAATATTATTCACTTCTGATTATTTAAAGTCGAATCACATCAGGTTCTAGGTGTCAGGATGGGGCAGTAGAAGCCAGTCCAGAATGGTTTTCCAAAGATCCAGGTTCTAATTCTTGCTCCTTCACTAACTCACTCCCAGCCTTAATCAGGCAACCTCCCCACCTGAGCTGATCTGGGAAAGGTCAGAGAAACTGGTTTCCAATAGAGCCCACACTCAGAGCTATAAACTGCGGTTTTTCCTTCCACATTTTTTAAGTCATCTCTCTACCGCCTCCTTTCCTCTGCAGCTCATCAAAAGCTCAGAGGAAAAAACAGACAATTGAAGAAAATAAAATTGCAAAGATGACTTTTATAGGGCTCCTGTTGAATCATTGTGTATTCCACCTTCAAAGCTGAAAATGATGAGTTTAATATCACACAGAGCTGTGCATCTTGTATCTCTCAGAAGGCAGTTTATGCCACCCAGAGAACTGGGAGCTTGGCAAGACACAATTTTTCACTCCAAGTCTGAGGCAAATGAAATGACAATCATCAGTCCCACATTCTAGAAGCAACATGGTTTTCATTTGGTCTTAACTTTGTTTGAAAGTGTCCCACAGAGGGAGAATTCTTCTAAGCATGGATTTTTCTTCTTTCCCAGGACTGAATGCTAGAAAGTGGATGGAAAGATGGCCAGGTCTTGCCTTGGCTGTTTTTAGTGTTGCTCACTGATGGTATTACAGTAACTGTGCAAACGGGTCAGGAGACCTGCGTTTCAATCCCAGTTAGGCCATGAACTTGGACAAGTCCCTTCCCCAGTGGAGGCCCCTGTTACTCTCAGACATGATTAACAGATATAAATCAGACTGATATATAGGAAGAGAAAGTCAGATTTGAGAGATACTGAAGTTCTAAGGGTCTGTCTGCTGCATGCATGCTGTGTTGTTAAGTCATGTCCTGCTGTTTGTGACCCCATGGGCCGTAGCCCACGAGTCTTCTCTGTCCATGGGATTCTCCAGGCAAGAATACTGGAGTCAGTTGCTATTTCCTTCTCCGGGGGATCTTCCTGACCCAGGGATCTAACCTGAGTCTCCTGCATCTCCTGCATTGGCAAGCAGATTCTTTACCACTGAGCCACCTGAGGAGCCCTCTAAGGGCCTGAGAGTTCCCCAGTTCCTGCCAATCCATTACAGTGTCTGAAGTTATCCTTCTGAGTGGTTTATTTAGTCATTCTGCATCTGGCTACTGAGCATCCTACATGAACAGGCACTGGGTTCTTTCCAGACAATCTTTCTACTTTCAGGGAGCTCATAAATGAGAAGGTTAATAAATAATACTATATCAAGGTAGGGAGTGCCTTAAATGTGGAATGTGAGCAGACAGCAGAGAAAGACTAGTTACAATCATCTTTATAAATTGCAAGGTTACTTTTCCCATACACTATATACTAACTGTGGAGTAGGTGTGGCATCATGAAATGAGGTTAAATAGCAGAATTAACTAAGATGTCCTATGTGAAACTCCCAGAATAGAATCTGGCATTCATTAACTATGCAGTAAATGATAGTAATGACTGTTGCTGAGTTGGATTCCCACTCTAACTCTCCAAGGCTGGAATTAAAATACCCATTTTGAAAATAAAAATTTCAAAGAGGGTACATGATTTAGTTTACCCCAGACTCCCTCTGTTAGAAATGACCCAACTGGGGCAAAACCATTAGCAGGCCCAATGTAAATATAATAATGTTACCTGAAGGTATTTCTCATTAATCAGAGAAACAAATTCTGCTAAAGCCTTTAGTTATGAATGTGTTTACTGCTCTGGGTAGGTAGCATTACTTGAGAAGAACTTGAAAGAGGACTGCTAATGGTAGTGCTCTGAGACCTTGAAGACAGATGGTGTTCAAAATAAAGAGAAATTGATCCTCGCTGCTCTCAATCCCTCACGCTGCTACAACTGAGTAGACAGAGGGCTAGCTCAGAAGGAAATGGTGTGTGTGTGTGTGTGTGTGTGTGTGTGTGTGTGTGTGTGTGCATGCACGCTCCCGTGCGCATGTGTGTTTAAGGCAAACTCTGTGGCCCTGACATCTCATTTGTTACCCTTTCTCTCAGCAGAAAACAAGCCTGGAGTTTTATATTGACATCCACGCCCACTCCACCATGATGAATGGTTTCATGTACGGCAACATCTTTGAGGATGAAGAGCGGTTCCAGAGGCAGGCGGTTTTCCCCAAGCTCCTCTGCCAGAATGCCGAGGACTTCTCCTACGTGAGTCAAGAGTTGGCTGTCAGCCAGCCCCAGGTCCCCTCCCCAGACCACCCCCTCCTTCCCATTGCCCCCCTGTCTTTCGCTGAGTTAGACTTGCTTTGACGTTCACAGAACACCTACTTGTGCTGTGTCTTGTGTGGGTGATAAAGACAGACGTAAACAAGCTCTGCCCATGCTCACAAACAGCTCATCACCTCTCAGTGAGGGAGGAACACACTCGCTTTGTCTGAGGAGATGGCCTTTGTTTAGCTGATCTGACTCCAGCTTTAACAAGAGAAGAAACCCACTGAGCACCTCCCAGAGTCAGACCCTGGCCCTGGTGTCTGCTTTCACAGACCTCTGGCATTTGTTCTCTTTGTTGTTGTTGTGCAGTTGCCAAGTCATGTCCAGCTCTTTGTGACCCCATGGACTGTAAGAGGCTCCTCTGTCCTCCACTGTATCCCTGAGTTTGCTCAGCTTCATGTCCATTCAGTCAATGATGCTATCTAACCAGCTTATCCTATGCCACCCCTTTCTCCTTTTGCCTTCAATCTTTCCCATCATCAGAGTCTTTTCCAATGAGTCAGCTGTTCACATCCACTGGCCAAAGTGTTGGATCTCAGCAACACTCCTTCCAATGAATATTCAAGGTTGGAATGACTGGTTTAATCTCCTTGCACTGCAGGGGACTCTCGAGAGTCTTCTCCACACCACATTTCAAAAGCATCCATTCTTCAGTGTGCAGCCTTCTTTATGGTCCAACTCTCGCATCCATATGTGACTACCGGAAAAACCATAGCTTTGACGATATGAACCTTTGTCATCAAACTGATGTAAATGGAAGTTACTAACGTAAGAACCATGCTGGATGCCTTCATTTAATTGTCTGTGTAACCCATCCTTAGAGTAATCCTGCAAATTAGGATTCATATCAGACTTTTCAGATGGGGAAGCTGAGACCCAGAGATGCTGTAAGATTCGCTCAAGGTCCCTTAGCCTGCAGGGGTCCAGCCCTGATCCTCTTCTCCTTTCTTGTCTCCCACAGTCCAGCACGTCCTTTAACCGGGATGCTGTGAAGGCCGGAACTGGCCGTCGCTTCCTCGGCGGGCTGCTGGATCATTCTTCTTATTGCTACACCCTCGAGGTTTCCTTCTACAGCTACATCATCGGCGGCACCACAGCTGCTGTGCCCTACACGGAAGAAGCCTGTATCCTTGGCAGCTTCCCCTTCCCCCTCCGCCAGCCCTGGGCCAGCTCACATCCAGCTGAGAGGACCCAGGTCTGCCAGCGTTTACCAGGCACCTCAGGAATGTGGTCTCCAATTCAGGTGAGGGCTGGGACCCTGGGGTGAGGATAGATGTGGCTGGTTCTGCTGGTGTCACCTCTGGATTGTCCTGCTTACCTCCTGCCCTCCCAATGGACACCCCTCCCTAGATGCCTCTTCCACACCTCAAGTCTTCCTCAGGCACCTGGATCCGTGACCCACCCACACCTGTGCCGGCCTACCTCTCTTTCTCTCCTCTGCCCCCAGCAAGAGAGTGAGTCTTCCATCATCTAAGGTATGTAAGCACACAGGCCAGAAGCTCATCCCAAGCCTGCTGAGAAAGACCTCGACTTGGTCTTGGTCTCCTCTTTCTCACCCTGAATATATCTCTTGTTTGGGTTTTTAAAATTTGTTTATTTTTATTTTTATTGAAGTATAGTTGATTTACAATGTTGTGCCAATCTCTGTCATACAGCAAAGTGACTTGTATAGATACACATTTATGCATTACTTTTAAAGTATCCTTTCCCATTATAGTTTATCCCAAGAGACTGGATATAATTCCCTGTGCTATACAGTAGGATCTTGTTGCTTACCCATTCTAAGTGTAAGAGCTTGCATCTACCGATGCCAAACTCCCGGTCCATGCCCCTCCCTCTCCACCCTTTTGGCAACCGCAAATCTGGTCTCTAGAACAAATCTCTTTTTACCTTCCATCTTTCTGTGCTCCAGCTCCCTTCCCTTCTCTTCTTTCCACTCACTGCTATTTTGCCTGTCCCCACCTTGTCCCGTCTCCTTCTGTCTCTCCGTCTTACTTCAATGGATGTGTTCCTTTCCTGTCTCTCTCTCCTCAGCCTCCTTCCACCTTCCCCGCCTTCCCACTCATCCTCTGAGCATCTATCTGCCTTTTCGTCTCCTTTGCCAACTCACTTTTCCTCTTGGCTTACTCATAAAACGTCCACAAGAGCTCCAAAGCATGTCATGATGAAACTAGAGGTCGCCTTCTGGCTTGCTTGATTTTTTAGGAATTGTTTAGTAATTCTAGGTTCCTGGGTGTCGATTTTCATTTCAAGGTCACTACATAAGGGGTTGTGACTGATTGTGACAGTTTCTGCTTATCTTTTACTCTTTTGTTTTGGATTGACCCATGTCTCCTTTCTGAACACTTAGTTTCTCAGAGAAAGAATTATAGTTGATGGAGAAGAAAGGAAATGGATGATATTAACTCTCTGTATACAGACTCTCTCTCCCCAGAAGTGGGCATCCTCCTTTCAACCATGGGGAGAGTTTATGGAGTTCTCACCACACTCTGTGCAGGAAAGCTTCCTTTCTGGTCCATGACTCAGCACTAGTGAACAGTGACCTAACAGGAAACATGGAGGGCAGGGTGATGTCCTTGGAAGGAGGGGCAAGTAGTTGGCAGACAAGGTGTTAGACCAGTATTCTAGATCAAGTACAACAATGTAGAGATCATGGTAAGAACTGGGGCAGAGTCCCCTCACAGTCACCTTGAAGTCTGCTTTAATAACCACCTGACTCACAGACCAATGGAGTAGGCTCTGCTCTACACCAGAAAACCCTTGCTTTCCAAAGTCTTGGCCATCTCCATGTGCCACAGTGTAACCCTCGCCCCCCACACAGCCCCCCGACACACGACTTGATGGTGTGCAGCACATGGCTTCCCCAGGATCCACAAACTGCTGTGCTCCACACCTAGACATATTCCACACTGCTCCTGCCTAGCTCACCTTTGATGTCAGGGCAAAGGAAAGAGAAGGAGTTGCCTGGAAGGAGAGTTTGGGCATGTGCACCTAAGGGATCCCATATGTGACTAATCTCAGTGAGATGAGGGTCCCTCCAGAGGTGGCCTGTACTTAGTTTGTGGCCAGTGTCTGATGTCCAATTTGATGGGTTCTCCTACTCTGTGTCAGCACCTCCAACATGCTTTTGTGTTGGAAGCAAATGAATTTCTTGGCAGAATGTCCCTCCCTTGGCCCAGACCCAGAGTTTCCTCCCCTCAACACCCAACCCTTGTTCATCAAACATTAGTACACGATTAGTGCATTCTAGGAATCCTACTAAGCACTGGGGCAAAATATTGACCAAGAAGCCATGGTCCCTGACTCACAGAACTTCTGGTCTACTTGGGGAGCTGGATAAAGGAAAGGGACACTTATAATCTGTATAGTAAGTCCTGTTGTGGAGGAATCCCAGAGAACCATGGGAAATGTCCATTTAAAAATATATACACCACCATGTGTAAAGCAGACGGCTAGTAGGAAGCTGCTGTATCGCACTGGGAGTTCAGCTCATGCTCTGTGATGACCTGGAGGGATGGGATGGGGTAGAGGGGAAGCCTCACGAGGGTGGAGATACATGTTTGCACATAGCTGATTCACATTCTTGTACAGCAGAAACTAACAAAAACTGTAAAGTAGTTATACTCCAATTAAAAAAAATACAGTGCGTGTCTGCCATAAGCCAGGTAAAGTTCTAGGCACAGGGGTTGTATTAATAGCAGTGAACATACCGAAGACAAAAATAGCTACACATAGAGATAGGAGAGGCTCAAACACAGTTTTAGTAAGTCAGGGAAGTCTTCACAGCAGAAGTGACCTCTAAACTGACTTTTTAAGGCTGAATAGAAATTAGGCAGATTGGCTGGGGTGGGTTGTTGGAGGGAGGGCATCTCAGACAGAGAGGGAAGGAAGGGAGGCGGGCTGTAGGAGCTGCAACAGGTGTGTTATGACTGAAGGACTGCAGATGCAGGAGGTGAGACCAAAATGGCAGCCTGTGAGGAATTTGAACTAGAAGGAACATGAAGGCAATGGAGAGCAGTAGAAGGGCTTTAAAGAGCAGTGGGAAGCCTCTGGCTGCAGTGGGAAGGACAGATTAGAGAAGGCTGTAGGCAGGGGCATGCTGGGAGCTGTTACGACAATCCATCTGGGAGATGACTCAGGACTAGACTTGAGTGGTGCCGTGCAATGTTTAGAATGTGGAACTGAGAAGACTTGGCCAGCGTTTGGATGGGGATGTTGGTGGGGACCAGGAGCTAGCGACTGGAAGGGGTGCAGGGTGGTGGGTAGTGAGACCGAGCAGAAGCTGAGCAGACCACCAGGCTGTTGGAGCTACTCAGTCTTGTCTGCCATCCAGGGTGCGAGAAGAGGAACCTGGAGTTTCTCCAAGGACGTGCAGGCAGAGTCAACACACACAAGCGTGATTTAACCTAGTTCTTCGTTGAAATGCATTTTTTTTTAAAGCCTTCATCTCCTAACAGAGGGAGACTTCAGGCAGACAGATTGTGATCCTTGTTGGCTGTTGGCTTCGTGTCCCAATCAGAAAAAGAAATTACATGGTCTGATAGGAATGGCAATATGGTCTGGGAGGATGTCCTCCAGACTGGGAGTCAGGAGACCTGAATCTGGTGACAACACCAGCCTCGTCCCCGAGCGCGCCCTTCAGCAAGTCCTCCAACCTCCCTGAGGCGAGCTGTGTCTCCTTCACAAAGGCACCAAGAACCTTCCTGCTTTCTTAACCCCTGCAATGGGAACTCAAAAGAGATACTTGTGAAAAGAGAACAGACTTTCCATTTAGACAAATCGGGTTTGAATCCAGGTTCAGACGTTCACTGGTTGTGTGGCCTTGGGCGAGTTATATAACCTCACTGTACCTCAGTGTCCCTGTCTGTAGCAGGAGGACCTAGTTAATACTTAACCTCACCAAGTTGCATGGAAGTTAAATGAAATAATGTACAGGAATGTGCACCTTAGGCTTTAAATATTATGCCAACTCATTGGAAAATACCTTGACGCTGGGAAAGACTGAGGGCAGAAGGAGAAGAGGGCAACAGAGGATGAGATGGCTGGATGACATCACTGATGCAATGGACATGAACTTAGGCAAACTCTGGGAGATAGTGAGGGACAGGGAAGCCTGGCTGCAGTCCATGGGGTCTCAAAGAATCAGACACAACTGAGCAACTGAACAACAACAACAATTAATTAGAACATCGTAACTGTAAATGAGGACTCATATTTATGTAAAAGAAAATAGCTGGGGCTGTTAGAGCAAGAGGCCAGGGGCTGTGCTGGTAGGGTTCATGGGCAGAGGGTCTCGGTGGGGTCATCACTACTGAGGATCTAGACCTCAGAACACATCTGATTTATACAGTGAGTGGGTGTGTGCAATTCAGTGATGAAGGTTTTTATGTCTGTCACCTAGAATGTCCCCTTCCCAGCCTTGGGAACCACAGAGGCCATGTTAGCTATCAGAAGATGCTGGATGAGAGGAAGGCCAGGGGAGGGCTGGAGGAGGCAGAGAATCCTGAGGGATGTCTCACCCAGACCCACAATAGTGTCCACCTCCTCACACTCCAGACCATATGTATCAGTGTTAGTCGGTGTTAGTCGCTCAGTCATGTCCAGCTCTTTGCAAATCCATGGACTATAGTCTGCTAGGCTCCTCCGTCCAAGGAATTCTCCGGGCAAGAACACTGGAATGGGTTGCCACTTCCTTCTCCAGGAGATCTTCCTGACCCAGGGACTGAACCTAGATTTCCTGTATTGTGTGTGAGCAGATTACTTACCATCTGAGCCACAAGAGAAGCCCAGAACATATGTATCTCTCAGCTTAATTTTTCTCTCTGGAAAAGCCCCAGCAAAACATTACCAAGCTCTTGCTCTCTGACTCTCCTCCTCCACTATATGAGGATAATATAGCAATGGACACAGTCACTGATGCTTCCCTAGCTGTGTGACCTTGGGCTGGTTACCTCACCACTCTGAGCCTGTCCCCCCATTTGTAATATAAAAATAATCATACTGATTTTGCACAGTTATCAGAGGAGTGCAGTGATACAAATCCCCTGGCCTGCCTGACACCTGATAGGTACTCAACAAAAGTTCTTCTGTCCCCAGTTTTCTCAGCCCCATACAGACTGCGTGA